TTCTGCACAAGTCCTGAGCTGATCAACGACTTTACAGTCACGTTATTCGACGATAATACTAATTACCTATTAAATATGTTTGCTTTCATTTCCTATCAAAAGTGTTATCTCTTGACAGTCAGCACACACACACGGCAGGTGGATACACGCACGTCGAGGCGGCGAAGCTTTTTAAATTGTTGATTTAATAGTTAAATGTCGAAATTTGACAATATGTGAGGTGTCGCATGTGAGAATGATTCATCGGGTTCGTGCACTGTTCATAAAACAATCGAACACACATAAATATATATAATATTGTATTGATTTAGTTTAATGTATTCTGCAAGTTGATATATATATATATATATATATATATATATATATATATATATATATATATATATATATATATATATATATATATATATATATATATATATATATATATATCGAAAGAAGCCTGTTATTTGAAAGGTGGTGCAAATATCACGTTTTTATTGTTGAAAACTAATAATTGTATTAAACCTAATCGCACTTATTGAGTGTAACTAATAACACACTACGCATTTTGCTACAAGTGCATATACATGTATGTCTCAGGTACAATATAGGCCATCGCATTCCGAATTTATTTGTATACATTTTTGCCAACCAGAAATAGAATGTCGCTCACTGTCCAACACTGGCTCGCAATCTGCGGCGACATCACTGCCTAAAAGTTGTTTTGTTAACAGGAAGACGTACATGAATATTCAATAAGGAAAGCAGCCCACGACGTCTTTATTTTATCATCGGAGCGAACCATTCACTGTGCACACGCACGCGCGCGCAACACGTAAACAAGTGCAATCAATCGAGATTATGATAATACAAAATACGATATTACAAATCGATGTTAGAAACGATGTATGTATGTGGATGGTTGATTTGAAAAAGAAGTGGCGGCTTGATTGCAACCGGTGCGTGGGGTTTACCCATTTATTCATTCTTTTGGGCTGGACATTCTTTCAGTCCCGTTGTTTCTTTCGCCTCGTTCTTTTCACTAACTATTGACCCTGTATCTAAGCTCACAAAATCAACCACTAATGCGAAGTCAATACTGTTTTTTTTCTTTACGAGCATACAGTGAGAGAAAGTATCAAATAGTGGGTATAATGTGTCAAGCAAATAAAAAAGAGTCATTAAATAAAAAAAAAGTTGACACGTTTTGTAATTTTGTAATGGTCATGTACCACTGAACAAAGCTCTGAACAAGCTTGAACTTTCTCATGTAGAAGCAGAATTAGTTATTCGTGATTTGGCAAATCTGAGGCGACTGAGTATCTCTCTTAATCTACAAAAAAAAAATATTGCGTACAGGTACACGGATAGTGTAGACAATATACTTAGTAATTAATTTCTTTGTACTGTGCCTCTAGAATCTCTCAGCCAATCAAATTTAAGCTGATTCTTAGATGTTCTCGTTGCTAATTGGACCTACGCTATTGATTTCGTAAAATACAAAAAATACCCAATTCCTCAAACAGTGCCCAGAATGTTCAGATAAGTCGTCCACAATGAGACAGCGGCCAGGGGACTCGTTACTCGTTTGTAACCTAACTACCATTGATAGTCATTTTTAATTAAAAACGACCACAAAATTATACGTCGGATTCAAGTAATATACGCCAAATTTGTCATACCCTTAAAACATTCAACATTAATGATAGAAAACAATTGATTATGGCTATCAAGCCATTTTATGAACAGGTAACATTTAATTAAAACGATAAATTTATGAAAACAACTTTCTAAAATCTAAAGACTAATAATTGGCTTAATGATTAGACGGTAACTTTCCTGACAATGTAGTATAGTTTCGCCGTCGTACACATTTCCAAAATAAAACGAAAGCGCAGTTTTTTTTTTCTATTTAAACTGAACAGTCTGGTTGAAGTGCAAAAGTCGTCATGTCGCGTAGTTTTTAATGTGATTTCTCGGATCTGCTTAGCGATACAGGCGCAGCGAGGTCGTACTATTGGCACCCTTTGGGCGCATGTATCCCGGGGGGGGGGGGGTACTCCAAGTCAGACCTGGTACCCATGCTGAAGTATAGCTTTTCAAAAAGCCTCTAAACACGTAATTATTTTTGTGAATTTATACCCCTTTTTAAGT